TTTCCTCTCTGTGCTTCCAAGTTGCAAAGCATTATGCTGTCCATCTTACATATACAGTCTATGCTTTATCTTCATATTTTAGATTTTCTGCCCACTTCTTTTTTCCTTTAGCCCGCCCCTTTTAGCATAAGTACCTGTTGAGTAGGCGGGGTTAAAATAGGGAGGCAGGTACACAAACAAACTGATAAAGCCACCAAGGCGTTATCAAACCAAATGCATTGTGTTTCCATATATATTTATTTTTAATGTATGTGGTCCTGTTTCATTTCCAAATAAATCTACATTATTTCAGCCTGTTTGCATTAATGATATCAAGTCCCCCATCAACCACCAAGAAAAAGACAAAGAGCTCAGCCTCCACATTAGATTACAAAGACCCAATTCCCAGGGCGAAAATAAATTTGGCTGCCACTTCTGCTGCATCCATTTATCCACCACCCGTGCTTCATTATGCCTCTGCTGCCCATTAAGATAGAGCTGTCCTATGGGAAATGCAGCTGTGCCCTGCAGGATGCAGAAAGCCCACCCAGCGACAGTAAATATCCACTGACATTAACCAGCTTGAGTGGGACCCCTTCCTGTCTGACGTGTGCTTCGTGGCGGCTGCAGTCCTGGCCCTGGCTGTCATTTCCTGGACCTCCAGAGTCAGCTGCCAGGACCTTCCAGGCTTCGGCGTATCAGACAATCTGGTTGTTCCTGCAATGCACTGGCTTATGAATTAAATATGACTCCTTTCTGCTTTGTTTTGCACGCGGCCCTCCCGGCGTGTGAGATGTTTATGTTTCTGCTGAGTCACAGTGGTTTAGCTCCAGCTGATGGAAGAATGCTATGGCAAAAACCGCAGGGGGGGGGCTATGAAAGCGAGTCAGATCTTTATTTCTGGCTGATGGCAGAAGTTTTTGTGGAGTATCTGAAATAGCTGCTTAAACTTAAATTGAAGGTGCAGGCAGCAGATCCATGCATGTGCAGCCTCAGTAGATGAATAAGGCACCTGTGGATCAGCTGACTGGTAATGGTGTCGATATACAGATATATTTAAAGTTACATAGTATATTTCTATGTTGTTAAAGATGCTTTATGTAGCAAGACTTCAGACATCTTTGTGGTGCAACAGTGTAATGTAAGAAAGTAATCTAAGGGGTTCAAACGTCGTCCAGGGAATTTATGTTTGAGATTTTAGAAAGCATCTTTTTATGGATAATTTTAAAAGAACTCTTTGATTTATTAACAAATATCTAAAAAATAATGACAATTCCC